CATGCCGTGGCCACACCACGCGGGGCTGGGTCCAGCAGGATAGGCCTGGTCAGGGAGCTGTGGACATCTATAGATTTCGCCGGCCTAGGCAGAGCAAACTGTGGTCACGTCACGCGGGCCGCTCGGCTGGAGTCCGGCCGGCGACGCGAGGACGCAGTCGGACGGGCCCAGGATCGAGACAACTCCGTTCCACAGAGCTCCGGGACTGGAACGCTCGGGAACGGCCGCGGCGCCCGAGACATCTTCCAGACCTGCCGATTCCGTTGAGATCTCTCCGATTGCGTCTCGATTCTGCTCTTAAGTCGGGCCTGTCCCTCTGCAGGAGGAATACTTCAAAATATTTTGAAAATAGTCAGGGGACGATTTTTCGATTAATCTATAGTGCATTATCTATTCTATTGTTGTTAATCTCATGTTTTCTTCCTCCCGAACTCCGCCTGTAGAGGGACGTATCTGACCTGATTCTGCTCTCGTCTTAACCATGAGGCCTCTGCCCGCGTCGCGGGCTGGCTGCCTCTCCTCCCGCCCTTCCTCGGGGCAGCACGGGGACAACCGCCCAGAGGTGCTCTTTTCCATCCGCGGCCCCAGAGGTCTCCATGATCCTCAGGACGCGTGTTAGCCCAATGCGTGCTTCTCTCGTTTAGCCCAACCGGTAGAGCATCACATCGCCTGCGTCTTATCGAGGGGCCTCGATGGACGAACACACGCTGGCGCTCACACACGTTCTGAGGATCATCGAAGGTCCCGTCCCTTGCTTCGACTGCAACTCCTGGGAGGTCAAACTCCGACTTTGCCCTGGTCCGGAATCTGCTTTCAAAAGTCTTCATCTCGCATATGTAATCCCGCTTCTTTTGGCTCAGTCCCGCCTAATCCGCGGCCCGATCCGGCGTAGTAGCCCCCCCCAAAGGGGGGTTTCATTCTCCCTATTCCTTCCGACGAATGCCTCCCAGTAGTTGCCTCCTATTGGCGTCACCCCAACATACTTATATTAGATGTGCGTCCCCCCCTTTCATCCAGGGGCGACGCGCGCACCAAGAACTCTGATAGTATATGCGTCGCGGCGGGGCGCTTTATGGCCACACCGCTCCGGAAACGATCTACTCCAAGATCGGTACACTGGATGCTCGGGTCGGACGCGCGCCTCTAAGGAGGACCCATGGTATTAGTCTTAAGTCGGGCGTGTTCCTCTACAGGGGGAATATTCAAAAGTAGGCACAAATAGTCTGGGGACTTTTTTGTTTTTTTGACCATTTTGGGGTATTGTTTAAAGTCTTTTCTATCTTTCGTCGAAAGTCCTCCTGTATGGGGGACAGGCCCGACTTACGATCAGTGTGTCGCTGTGCGTCCCATCCCAACCTTTCCCCAGAAAGCAGCCCTTCGCCCCGCCTCCGTGGATGGCCCCGTGGCCCCGACTGCCGGCCCCCGACCGAGGGCCGACTCGGAGGACGGGCCGCGGGGTGAACCGACGCGCGTCGTCGGAGGCCTCCAGCCTGCCACCTCCCTTTTCCCAATTTCCTCCTCCCTCCTCCTCCTCCTCCTCCTCCTCCTCCTCCTCCTCCTCCTCCTCCTCCTCCTCCGCCTCTTCCGTCTTCTCTCCCCCACTCTCCCTCCGCCCTCCTCTTCCTCCTCCTCCTCGTCCTCCTCCTCCTCCTCCTCCCTGGGTGCCCCTGTGGGGCAACGGAGTCTGTACACATCCGCTGCCCGAGGCCTGGCCAATGCTGGGCCCAGGAGCAGTGCATAGGCATCCCCGTCCAAGCCTGGAGGGCCCATGCACCGCTCCTCGGCCCAGGATGGGCCAGGCCTGGGCAGTGGATATGTACAGATCCCGTCGCCCTGCCCTGTGCCCCTGGTCGGCGGCGCGCTTAAGGGTTGGGGCTGAAGGGACGGGGGTCAGTGCAAGCGGGGGTCAGTCAGAGCGCCTGGATCTTGCAGGATCTTGCAGAGCCAGGGTCGCACTGACCCGGGTATGGGTGCAGGGTCTTGCAGGATCCTGCAGGATTTGGCAGGATCCTGCAACGCCCGACTGACCCTGATTTGGATTGACCTGGGACAGTATATCCCCGACATGGGGGCAGGGGGAAAGGGGGAGGCTTCTTCGAAGGAGGCTGCTTCTTCGAAGGCGCCGGCCTTAGTCTACAGATCAGGCCCGCGCCTTCTAAGCAGCAGGGGTGCTTCTAAGAGTCTAGGCCTCCCAGATGGTGTCCGAGTAGATAGGGTCGGAGGATCGCGCCGCATCGCCGATGCATCGCCGATGCGGCTAAATGTGGGGCCCGATTTGCGTCGCGTCGACGTCGGCGATCGATGCATCGCCGGTGCATCACCCATGCATCGCCGATGCATCGCCGATGTATCGGCGATGCGGCGCGATCCCTCGACCCCGTCTGCTTCGACCCCATGTCGGAGGCCTCCATTCTAAGAAGCAGGGGTGCTTCTAGGAGGCCTTCCCCCCTCCCCCACCCCCCTGGGCGCCTGCCCTCCAGCGCCGATCTGTCGAGTGCCACCGCCCAGCCTCGGCCCCGCGAGCGGCCCCTGCTGCAGCGCGTGGGGCCTCCGCAGGCCGCGGCGCGGCCCGGGCGGGCGAGCTGTCAGGGCCGGTGCCCGACGAGATGTCGGGGACCGGGAGGAGGAGGAGGAGGAGGAGGAGGAGGAGGAGGAGGAGGAGGAGGAGGAGGAGGAGGAGGAGGAGGAGGAGGAGGAGGAGGAGGAGGAGGAGGAGGAGGAGGAGGAGGAGCTGGAGATGATGAGATGATGATGATGATGATGATGATGATGATGATGATGATGATGATGATGATGATGATGATGATGATGATGATGATGATGATGATGAGATGATGATGATGATGATGATGATGATGAGGAGGAGGAGGAGGAGGAGGAGGAGGAGGAGGAGGAGGAGGAGGGGAGGAGGAGGAGGAGGAGGAGGAGGAGGAGGTGGAGGAGGAGGAGGAGGAGGAGGAGGAGGAGGAGGAGGGAGGAGGAGGAGGAGGAGGAGGATGACGATGAGGATGAGGAGGAGGAGGAGGAGGAGGAGGAGGAGAGGAGGAGGAGGAGGATGAGGAGGAGGAGGAGGAGGAGGAGGGAGGAGGAGGAGGAGGAGGAGGAGGGGAGGAGGAGGAGGAGGAGGAGAGGAGGAGGAGGAGGAGGAGGAGGAGGAGGAGGAGGAGAGGAGGAGGAGGAGGAGGAGGTGGAGGAGGAGGAGGTGGAGGAGGAGGAGGAGGAGGAGGAGGAGGAGGAGGGGGAGGAGGAGGACGAGGACGAGGAGGGGTGGGGGCTGCGTGGACCAGGCGTGGGCTGTGTGGGGGTTGGAGGCTTCCGCCCGCCTACGGGCTTTGCCAGGCTGGCTCCCCCAGGGCCCCGCGAACACAGCCCTGTCCTTGCTGGCTGCCGCCGCTGGACCGTGGCTCGAGCACAGACTGTGTGCGGACCCGTGCCGTTGATGCGACGCGTGACGTTTTGCACAGACCGAGGACCAACAACGACACACACACACACATCAATTTTCGGAGGTCCGCGTGGATTTCTTGGATCGGTGGTGGGCATCCCTGGCGGCACCTCCAGCGCCGCTCTGCGCGCCAGGAAGGAGGGTCTAGCGCCGATTCACAAATTCTTGCGGACCCTCGACAGTTTATGCTTATTCGGTCTTTTGGTCCTCTAAGATATTATCGGGCAAATGACATCTGCGGCAACACTGGCAGCCAGGAGCAGCAGCTCCGATTTCCGCCTATCCCACTCTCCTGCAGATCCTGGACCTTGACATGCACGCGCTCATCCAGTACAAGGAACACATGCAGAGCCTGCAGGACCTTTGACAGCGGCCTTCAATCCGCTGCCTCTCTTCCTCTCCTGCCATTGTGTATACCCACACCCGCGCTTCTGCGTGCGTGCACATCTGCACACGTGCACGCTTACACGCTTCCTTTCATGAAGCGGTTTGTTCCTTACGTGCGCTATAGGGCATATTCGTCTTTGAGGCGGATCGCGCCTATTGTGAGGGCTCCACGACGGTCAATGGACGGGCTGCATTTGAGATCCTGGCGGCGGGAATCCTGTGTGCTCGCATGCCTAAGCGTGAACATGTACAGGTGTGCGCACTTGCGCGCAGGGGAACGTTCGCACACAGATGGCTTCTTTAGAGAGGATGTGGGGCGCGGAGGGGGGTTCGTGTTCTTGACCCACGTGTGAGTGCGGCCAAGTTTCGGCTGTAGTCGTTGGACTCCTCCTGCTCCGAGAGGCGAGGAGAGGGGGGATGATGATGATGATGATGATGATGATGATGATGATGATGATGATGATGATGATGATGATGATGATGATGATGATGATGATGATGATGATGATGATGATGATGATGATGATGATGATGATGATGATGATGATGATGATGATGAGATATGATGATGATGATATGATGATAGGAGGAGGAGGAGGAGGAGGAGAGGAGGAGGAGGAGGAGGAGGAGGAGGAGGAGGAGATGGAGGAGGAGGAGGAGGAGGAGGAGGAGGAGGAGGAGGAGAGAGGAGGAGGAGGAGGAGGAGGAGGAGGAGCACTGCAGGAATGCTCCTCGGCGGCGGCCGGCCCCTCGATCTGCGCGCGCGCGCCGAGCCCAGGCCTCGGGAGCCCGGCTCTCTGAGGCCTGGAGATTGACGCCGGCACCAGCGTCGGCGGGGTGCCTCCACCGGGGGAAGAGGATCCCGACCTCGGTGACGGTGGTGATGCTCGGGCTGCCCAGGTGGCCGAAGTGTGGCACCACCAGCGCCCCAAATCCAGGGTCGTCCTCCTACGGTGGAGGCCCCCCCCTCCAGCGAATGCACTGCCCTGGCCAGGCGACCCTCCTGTCGGCTGGGGGGCCCGGTGCGGGCGCCTTCCTGCAGTACCCCGCAGAGGTGGCGTGCGACCTCGAGGACGTGCACTGGGCGACGGCACTCCGCAGCCGACTCCACTTGCCGCGACCGGAGTGCGACCGCGACGAGCTGGCGCAAGCCTCCGCGACCTGCTGC